CGGGTGGGAAGGGAACAGGGAATGCTCCTCCGGCGGCATTGGGATAGGGAACAGCGGGAGAGAACAGGGAATAGTGCACCGGAATAGAGAACAGAGCAGTGCGACAGGGAATGGTGGGATGGGATAGGGAACAGAGCACCGGGACCGGGAACAGTGGGATAGACCAGGGAACAGAACTCCGAGATCGGGAACAGCACAACGAGATAAGGACCAACCAGTGCACCGGGACAAGGAATAGCACACCAGGACAGGGAGCAGTGGGATGGAACAGAGAACAGAGCACCGGGACAGGGAGCAGTGGGATGGGACAGAGAACAGAGCACCAGGATAGGGAAGAGTGAGATGGTACAGAGAGAACAGAGCACCAGGATAGGCAAGAGTGGGATGGGACAGGGAACAGAGCCCTGGGACAGGATAAGGAGCCCTGCCCCGATGGGATATCAACTGCAGAGGAGCCAGGGATGGGATGGAGGTTGTGTCACCACCTGCAGAGCCAGAGCCTGTCCCCTGTCCCTGATCTAGATCCAGCACATTGTGGAACCTGCTGGGCTCACCAAACTGGAGCCACATTCAGAGAAACACAAGCTACAGCACCTGGCGAGGGCAGGAGCTGGTGATGGAAACAGCTGGAGCAGCAGGAAACTGATCATTGTGATGCTGCACTGGGACACTTCACACCTACTAACAGGTAATACCTGTGCAGTGCCACAGGTTGTGTCCTCACCCTCCCTATGGGATGGCCCAGGACAGCCAGGAATGATGGGCACCGAGCAAGAGCTGCTTCCCCACCACAGCCCCCACCCCAAACAGGGCAATCTGGGGGGTCCATGTGGCACACTCACCTCCTCCACAGCTCTTAGGCTGGTTCTGAGCATGAAGCAGAAACCACACAGATAACAAACCAGGATTTATTAAAGGCACAGGGGAAAACACTAAGCACATGGAACAATTTTTTTAAGAATTGCCACTTTAGGTGTATAAAACTGAAACATTCACAGTACATTTAACTGTGCCTGTAATACATTAAACAGGACACCTTGAATTCACTCCACGTCCTCCCAGAATTTAAAACAAGAAACAATGAAAATATCCTTTTATCATCTCACACAACTGCAACTAGAGATGTCTACAACAGACTCTCCAAATATTCTGTTCTGTGGTTTTCAATCCATGCTGCAGTAAGAGAGTCAGGACAAAGTCACTGGAAGTCTTGCTGGATATTCTCTTTGTTTGCTTCCCCATGCTGCTGTTTGATCTGTGAAATTTCATTTTCCAGCTGCACAATAGTTCGTTCAATCTCGTAATTTTTACTGACAAGAGAGACCCACCTGGAAGGGAAAAGAAATAAAAGAGCCTTTAAGTGTTATTTAACAGTCCTCTGGGTTAAAAATCAAAGACAACTCTTTACAAAGAAAGGGTAGAGACACTGAATAAAGCAGTGCTGACCATGATAAACCTCAGCTGATCTCAATGGTCATTTGAACAATCAAAGTGACAAATAATTTTTAACCCTGTTAAACCTGAACATATCGAATTTAATGTACTAGACTCATCCACTAACTGCCAATCTTTAGGTAAAGAAGAGTTTAAAACAATTTAGGCAATTTGAAGCCGCTAATAAAGATTGTTCTCCTGTTCTATCTGAGTCACTTAACCACAGTGACTACTGTATAGAACCAAACCACAAATCCTTACACTTTGTGTAAAGCAACAGTACCCAAACAATAACATTCTCCAGCAGCACTGAAGGATCACTGAGGCTCTGCAGGGAAGAATTTCAAGCTAAAGATAAAACCCGTGGGAGGTTTAACAGAAAACACTCACGTGGATTCCATCTCTCGTAGCTTAGCCCCAGCTGTGAGCTGCATGTTCTTTCGCTGCCAGTTCAGATCTTGAATGTTTTTCCTGGGGAGAAAAAGATATATGTGGGTTTTTTGTCATTTCTTTAAAATCTGTACTATCTCTTGCTAATTTCCAAATATACCTAATGCTTAGAAGTACTAACAGAAACCACTTCTGTAACCAGGGCTGTAATGACAACCCACAGGTGGACTGGGCTGCATCCAAAGGAGTGTGGGCAGCAGGGCAAAGACCCCACCTGGAATACTGCACACAGTTCTGGTGTCCTCAACAGAAGAAGGACATGGAACTGTTGGAGCAAGTCCAGAGGAGACCATGAAGTTACTAAGAGCACTGGAGCATCTCCCCTATGAGGACAGGCTGAGGGAGTTGGGGCTGTTCAGCCTGGAGAAGAGAAGGTTGTGTGGAAACCTCAGAGCAACTTTTCACTCTCTGAAGGGCCTACAAGGAGCTGGAGAGGGACTCTGTGTTAGGAACTGCAATGACAGGACAAGGGGCAATGGGTTCAAACTGAAGGAGGGAAAGTCTAGGTTGGATGTGAGAAAAGTTTTTTACTCTAAGGGTGGTAAGAGATTGGCACAGGTTGCCCAGAGAGGCTGTGGCTGCCCCAACCCTGGTGGTGTTCAAGGCCAGGCTGGATGAGCCTTGAGCAACCTGATCTAGTGAGGTGGTGTCTCTGCCCAGGGCAGCACGCTGGGACTGGATGATCTGTAAGGTCCATTTCAACCCCTTAAATTCTATGATTCTATGGACAAACTCCAGCCCAGAGCTCAGACAGAACCCTGAGATAAATACAAGGCCAAAGATAACATCAGGGAACATCTGATGGCTTCACAGAGACAACTGCAGACTGAACAGAAATCTATCAGCAGTGAAAAGGTGATGCATTTCAGAGAGCATTCCACCACAATCCATTCCCTTCAAGGCAGAAGTTTAAACAAATCACACAGAGTCCAGTGGAATCAGCACTATGAATGTAACTGCCTGAGGAGATCAGGGTCACTTCTCAGTTCTTGTTACTGGCTCTTTTTCCCTAGGACCACGGCAGCAATAGACACAGCCTTTGTACAGCTTGGAGGGAGAAGAAAGGGTCAATTCCAATTTGAGCAAGAAAACATCAAAAAGAATGACTTACCTCAACTTCTGAAGCTCTTTCTGGGCTTGTTCAATCATATGAACCAGGTGTCTGATGGCAGAATGCAAGCAAAGGGTTAGAAAAACATAGAATTTCTAAATCAATCCCATTTAGGTCCAGGGCTAAAGATCTAACTCTCTAGGCAACAAGCCACTGCAACCCAAACACACTGTTCCAGCAAATAGGTCCTCTACCTGCTTCCCTTCTGAGACAAGTAACCCTTTGCCTTCTCTCACAGCTAAGTTTCACATTCCTTTTACCTCCACCTTCATTTAAGGCTCATCCAACCTTTCTTCAAAGTTAATGTTACTACTCTTTGCCTGAAATGGCCCCAGTGCTTCCTGCAGCCACACTCTTGCCAACCTTGTTTGGCTTTTCCAGCTTTATTAATGTCTCCAGGCTGAGCAGGATCAGTGGTAACTCATCTGTATTTCCACCCCTGAACTATTCTTTCCCAGACTGTCATTAGTCCCTTTAGATATCCTCAATTAACACCCATTATCACCAACAATAATTCACAACATTCCAGACTGGATAGTATTAAAACATGGGTTATTTCTTGGCCACATTTCCTGTTCCAGCTTTATTAATGTCTCCAGGCTGAGCAGGATCAGTGGTAACTCATCTGTATTTCCACCCCTGAACTATTCTTTCCCAGACTGTCATTAGTCCCTTTAGATATCCTCAATTAACACCCATTATCACCAACAATAATTCACAACATTCCAGACTGGATAGTATTAAAACATGGGTTATTTCTTGGCCACATTTCCTGTTCTCTTT